TCTGAGCGCACGCGCACACACTCACACACACACACACACACACACACACACACACACACACACACACACACGCACACACACGCACGCACACACACACACACACACACACACACACACACACACACACACACACACACACACACACAGGGCCAGCCCATCCCGTCGGAGTTGATGCGGCGCCACATGCGCTCGACATCCTCTTCTTCACATGCTCAGCGTCCAAATGCCGGGGAGAGCCTCGGCATGGCCGCCGCCCCGCCGGTGGCGACAGCCTCCACTGGCGCCCCATGGCAGGCACGCCTTACGCCCACTGCATCGGCCATGTTCTCCTCCTCGGAGGCTGGGCCTGACAGCGTCGAGCACCCGGTCGATGGGGACGAAGCCCCGACTCACGGCCCCCCGAAGGACTCGCACCATGGGTCGGGCGGGGGGGCGAAGCGCGTGGCCGGGAAGCCGCCCTCTCCCACTCCGGAGGCTGGGACCTCCGAAGTTGACTCTCTCGGGGCGGAGCCCGCCGGCTCGGCCAACAAGCCTCCTGGTGGAGGCCTGGCAGATCAGAGCGTCCCGCTGGCATCTGGCGAGGGGATGCCACCATCTGGCATCGGCGCCAAAAAGAAGGAGTCGAAGAACCTCCTGCGGAGGCTCTTCCCGCGATCTTCCTCCTCCTCTTCCTCTTCCTCCTCGGTGTCATCCTCGACGTCACTGGCGACATCCTCCGGCGCTGGCGCAGGGGGGCCACCCCACACCGGTGGAGGAGCAGGCGGGGATCACCGGCTGTGATGGCGCCGGGGCCGCGTGGCTCCTTTTGCGCCCGGCCGCGTGGATGTGGATATGCGCTCGTGTACTTGTGTCATGAGGCTGGCTCGCGCCGCTCGCCCTCTCCCCCCTCCCCCCTCTCCCTTCCTTCTCCCTCGATTCCTCGTCTCCACCTCACCCCCACCTCCGGACTGCCAATCAGACGCCCCGTTCAATGGCATCGACCCGGGGTGGTGGGGGCACACAGGGGCGCCGGGGCGAGAAGGTCCCATGGTGCCCTTCTCCTTGTGGCTGTTCTCTTGTGTAGCAGGGCCAATCGCGGGGGACATGGCAGAACATGAGGCTTGCCTGGTCTCTCCCTCCCGCCCGTTCCTCCCGCCTGCGTGCGCCTCCTTGCGTGTCTTCGGGTGCGCCTTAATGAGATGGTGCGGCATGCATCTCTCCCCCTCTCTCCCATCCTCCCATCCCACCTGTGCTTGGTGAGCTCCCGTGCAGTAGTTCGGGAGCCTGAATAGATCTGTGTCCTTGGCATTGCTTGTGAGGGGGAGGGCGTCTTGTGCGCTCTTGACAACAGGGAAACAAAGAGGTAGGAAAGGGGTTTTTTTGCTCGAAACAGCGGGGGAGGGAAAAGGAGGGAGATGGCACTCAGGCAACAACTCAGCAGGATGCAGCTGTGAAAGGGGGGGGGGGAGGGGGAGGAAGGTAGTGGACAAAGGAATGCACCCTTCCGGTCTAGGAGATGCGAGCGGGCTCGCCCACCAAAGCACAGTGGGACGGGCAGGGGTGTGGCGAAAAGGGAGCAAGCCATCCTCCCTCTGCTCGCTGGACTTTACTCGAGACAGGCTCATGCGTGCTGCTGTCCCTCCTTGCTGGGGGCCCGGCAGGTGGAGAGGGCCTCCTCGGCGGCCAGCAGATCGTCGCTGGCCGCGGCGATGGTGGGCGGCTCGAATTGACGAAGGACCGAAGAGATGGTGGCATTGGGAGCGGTGAACGCCTGGCTGGGCTGGGCCTCGATCCAGTTCCCGTGGCCGGTGACCAGCCACCGGAGCCGGGCCACCGACGCCAAAAAGGAATACTTGACCGATTGGGTGACGCCGGAAAGCCAAACCGCGTGGAAGGCCAGGAAGTCCCGGCGGGTCATGTCCCGGAAGGTGCTGCGGAAGCCCTCCAGCCGCTCGGCATCTGGCACCAGGAAAGCCAAAGTACCAACAAGAGAGGGAGCGCGGCATGTCAGAAAATGGGGCAGGGCGGAGAGGGGCGCCACGAAGCAGCGACGGGCAGATCGTGTGTGTGTGAGCGCACCGGCAATCGAGTAGCCCGGGGTCCGGGAGGCCGTGAAGTAGTCCTTCGGAAGGTCGCGCTGGAAGAGGCTGTTGTTTCGAATCCAGAAGTCGTGCTGCACGTGGGCGAAATCCACCTCGTGCTTGTAAAAGCGCATTTCCTGGCGTCATCCATGCCAAGAGAGAGGGAGCACGGCA